ACCAAGCACGAGGTCCTTCCCCAGGAACTGATCTCACCTGACCACACGTCCACAGCACGTGAGATGAAGTCCTGCCATCCTTGCTTCTAAGGAGCATTCTGGCTGTACTCCATTCTTGCTTCTAAGGAGCATTCTGGCTGTACTTCTTCCAAGACGGATCTGTTTGTTCTTTGGCAGCCTGTGGTGCTTTCCATAGTCTTCGCCAGCACCACAGTTCACGTGCATCCTAGTCGGTATGAAAGGAGCCTTACTGATGCAGCGCTCAGAGAGCTCAGCTGCTAACTGGAAGATGGGCGGCTTGAACTCAGCCCGTCACTCTGTGGGAGAAAGCCAATGCAGTCTGCTTCTATATGCAGCCTTGGAAACTCTGAGACAGTTCTCCTCTGTCCTATAGAATTGCTGCGAGTCAGAATCGACTCAGTGGCCGTGGGGTTGATATTTTTACTTTTGCTTAGATTGATTTTACTGATGTCATATAAATGGAAATGGAAAGAATATTGAAATTGCCAAGAATTTCATTTTGCTTGACTCTACAATCATTGCCTCTTGGATGTATCAGTCAAAAAAAATCAAAGGATGTATTACATTGGGCAAATCTGCTGCGAAAGACCTCTTTCTTTGCAGTGTGAAAGAGAAAGGTGTTACTTTGAGGATTAAAGTGTGCCTGGCCCAAGTCATGGTATTTCATCGGTCACATATTTATGTGCAAGCTGGACAATGAATAGGGAAGACCGAGAACGAAGCGACACGCTTATATCACTTTGTTGGCAAAGAATATTGAGTACCATGGACTGCCAGAACAAGGAGCCCTGGTGGCAGAGGAGGTTGCCTACCAGGCTGTTGGTAGAAAAGTCAGCAGTTCGAACCTCCCATCTGTTCAGAGGAGGAAGAATAAGGCTTCGGCTCCCATAAAGATTTACAGCCTCGGAAGCCCAGTGAAGCAATTGTGCTTTGCCCTGTGGGCTTGCTAGGAGCGAACATGACTTCACGGCAGCGGGTTTGGTTTCATTTAGTCAGAAGAGTGGAACAGATCTGTCTGGGAAGAAGTATTGTCAGAATGTCCCTTGGAAACGAGGGTGGCGAGACTTCATTTCTTGTGCCTTGAACATGTTACCAGGAAAGATCCGTCCCTGGAGAAGGACATCAAGCTTGGTAAAATGGAGGATCAGTGAAAAAGAGGAAGATGGACGGACACAGTGGCTGCAGCAATGGGCTCCAATATAACAACTGTGAGGCTGGTGCAGGACTGGGAAATGTTTGCATCGCTTGTTGGCAATTTGAATATTATCTTTGGAGAAAGGCTATTCAAATATTGTTTAGTTTTTTTTTTAATTAAATAATCATTTTATTAGGGGCTCATACAACTCATCACAATCCGTACGTCCATCATTTGTGTCCAGCACATTAGTACATATGTTGACTTCATCATTCTCACAACACCTGCTTTCCACTTCAGCCCTTGGTGTCAGCTCATTTTTCCCCCTCCCTCCGCGCTCTCCCCTCCCCCTGAACCCTTGATAATTTATAAATTATTATTATTTTATCATATCTTACCCCATCTGACGTCTCCCTCACCCACTTCTCCGCTGTCCGTCCCCCAGGGAGGAGGCCATGTGTTTAGTTTTTAATTGGATCATTTACTTTTAAAACCATAAAGTAATAATATGGTTTATATCGTATTTAATAAAATACTTACAGTACCCTGATTCCTGGTTCTGGTTCAGGTAGCAATTAAGCCCAATTAAGGCAGTTTCATGAAGATGAAATGCGATATTTACTTTATCATGTTCACTTATTTTCAGAAAAATGGAACTAATGATGGTGACTATGTTTTTCTAACGGGAGAAGACAGTTACCTTAACTTTACAAAGATTGTGGAATGGAATGGAAAAAAGTAAGTCTAGTGAAATAGAAATGTGACTTTTTTTTTTCAAATTACATTTAAACTAAATGTTCTCTTTTGCATTATTTTAGCATGTGTGCTGCCGAAGCAAGCACCCCTTTTTGCACTATTTCAAAAGTCTTAGCATTGTCATTGTTTTCGGATGAGAAGTGCAATAAATCTGTTAGTCTTTTCATTATCGTTTTAGAAATCAAGATTGGGGTGATATACTTTTATCAATGATAAGCCAGTGAAAAATCGCACTTCGAGTGTTTAGCCCTCACTGAATGAGCTGCAGCTACAGCACCAACAGTTTCCAGCCACTGCTTGCTTGCTGTTTGTTTGGCGAGGAAGGGGAAGGACCTTTGCTCTTTAATGAATGCACTGTAGTGACAGTGGTGGACGGTATACCGTATATACGCAAGAATAAGTTGACCCGAATATCAGCTGAGGCACCTAATTTCACCACAAAAACTGCATTAAAAATGTGCTGAGAAACTCATTTTATACATGAGTACATACAGTATGTATTTTTAAGGATGGAATTACCTATGAGTTCACCATTCACTTTTTAAATGATTTTAAAACTATGGAGTCCTGATATGGTTGCTACTGTATTTAACACCATCTTTACAGGACCCTGTTTCCTAGTTCTGGTTTAGGTAGCAGTGAGGCCCAATTAGAACAGTTGTGTGAAGGAGGTGAAAGGCAGAGAATTCTGCCACTGTTTCTTTCCCCCCACGCCTGCTCTGCTGCCACCAAGCCCTCTGATGCCACTCCCTTAGCAGATCCTCCTCAGGGGCCAGGGGGCAGGAGGCTTCCTCACCGTGAGCTTCCTTCCCCCCTCTTGCCCTGTTGTGCTCTTCGGGTGTTTATTTACAGGTTCACACGTAGACATGCCTTTTGAAAAATAATTTTTAATAAAACCAGGTAGTATAGTAGACACACTGTTGATTTAGAAAGGGCTGTGCCTTTTCCCTTTAATATTTCTCAGGGAAAGGCAGCTGTGTGCTTTTTATCAGCCAGAAGACTGATATATGTGAGAGGCATTTAAGAGACAAATCAATCACATTACGCAAACCTTTAATTTTCCAGGTTGTCCAAAACCTACCTTTGCGTGCACTTATTAGATTGCTATAAAGAAGTGTCCTACATTGATATTAGTGAGACTTTTTGCCCAATCACTCCAGGGGACTGGGAGTACTAGGAAAAATGCGTGTAAATACTGTTGAAAGTTTTCATTACATTACTCAAATTTAAAAAAATTAAATATCTACATGATTAATTCCTTCTTGATTTGAAGCCAGGATAGGGTTTCTACTTCATAAAATGCTACAGGCAATACAAGTCACATAGGTCATTTTGCTTCTCCTATCTGCCTAGATAACTGGGAAATTGAAGAGTAAATGCAGTGTTCACGAGCAGAGCGCCTCTGACCTCAGGCCTGAAGAATTAGTCTCCACCTTCAGATTGTTTCTAAATTCTCTTAACTTAAAAAAAAATATATATATATATATATATATATATAGCCAATTTTATATGTCGTTCTATGGCAAGCTGCCTCTCCTCCACTTTGGAAGTAGTTTGTTTATAAATTGCAAATACAGGCATCAATATCAGCTGAGCTTCCAGATAAAGATGGACTAGGAAGAAACACCTGGTCATCTACTTCCGAAAGTCAGCCAATGAGAACCCTTGTAGATCACAGTGGTCTGGGGTTACCATGAACTGCCAGCTGACAACAGGAGCACCGGGCAATATTTGGAGATATTTTTGTTTGCCACAACTGGGGGTACCCTGAAAGCTAGTGGCTAGAGGCCAGGGGTGCTTCTAAACATCCTATAGTGCACAGGATTGCCCCCACCACAAAGAGTCATCAAACTTATATTGTTAATAACATAGGAATAACCCTGCATTCTTCCTGCCAATAAAAGTCTCTGGGTGGTAGGTGGACTCGTAAGACTTTACATATTTAAATAACTTTATTTCACTGTTATTTCAGACTGATTTGAGCTAGGCATAAAATTCTAGGCTGACTTTTGACATTTTTTTCCCCTTAATCTGTAGCTTTATTGCAGTGTATCCAGGTTTAAATTTATTTTTTATTATTTTCTGTTAGGCCCTTGAGGCATACCTTCAATACAGTGCTTATTGCCTTTCTTAAATTTAGGAAAACGATCAGCCAGTATCTTTCTAATGATGACATCTCTACTATTTGCCCTATTTTTTCTTCCTCCGAGAACTCAGATTAGCCATTATTGGAACTTCTCAATCTAATTTTTGCATTTCTTAATTGATTCTTTAGTTTTTATCTTATTGCTTTTCTGAGTTAGTATTTGTGTAAGTACCTTAGAGATATCTTAGAGTTTTATCCCCACCCCCTCCTCAGAAACTACTTTTATATCTAAGAATTCTGTTTTGGTCCATTGTCCCCCCTCCCACCACCCACCGCCCACCTTCTGTACCTTCCTACTCTTGTTTCACTCTTTTCTGTTGAATGAAGTAGAATGTTGAGCATTGTTGTGATTCAAGAGAAGTCTTCGAGTGTGTTTAGAACAGAGAACTGCTCCTGAAGGAGAAAGAGTTAACCCTGTATCATGAATATTACCGAAGCAGATATACTGCTCTAGAATTCATCTATCTGTGGGTTGGCCAAGAGCAAGGCTAAACAGGATCACTGCTCCAAGTAAACTTATCTTTCTATTCCTGTATGTTGTTGTTAAGGAGCCCTGATGGGGCAGTGGGTAAAGTGCTAATCTGCTAACCCCGAGGTCAGTAGCTCAAAGCCACCAGCCACCTCATAGAAGAAAGATGAGACTGTTGCATTAAAATGTACTGTTTCGGAAACCCTATGGACTTCTAGTCCTCCCTCATCGAGTCGCCCTGAATCTCAATCAGCTCATTAGCTGTGGGATTTAGCGTTTGATGATCTTGTTAGTGGCCAGCTAGTTATTCCAGCTCGTGTGGACCTCACGGGTGCAGAGGGGAACTACTCAGTAGATGTTCAAGGCTGTGACCTTTGGAAGCCTGTCTTCTGCAGGTGTTTCCTGGCGGGTCCAGCTAGTAGTTGACTACTTAACCATTTGCACCCAGGAACTGCTTAACGCTCTCTGTAGGCGATCCTTTTTGAGGGAAAGTGAGGAAATGTTGGCTATCCCCACTATGAAAATTGATTTGAGGGATAGGAGCTTGCTTTTCCTCCTCTTTGACCTGTCTCTCACCAAGGCCACCTTGTCTCTGCATATGAATAACATGCACCCACTGCATGTTATTCATATGCAGAGACAAGGTGGCCAGCTCCTAGCGAAGCATTGCAAAGTCCTGACTATTTAATTCTAAAAGCAAATCGGCTCATCTTTATCCTTTCTTGTGCATTTTAATCGCAGGTCACTTAGCTGGTGGGGAACCGAGAAGTGCAATATGATTAATGGAACAAATGGAGACTCTTTCCACCCATTAATAACCAAAGATGAAATCCTTTATGTCTTTCCATCTGATTTTTGCAGGTAAGAATGTTACAAATGGGTTTTTTGACTGCCCCTCCACCAGAAAATCTAGTGCCAGAGCGTTGATTTCAACTCACTGGAAATGTAGAGCAGAGTAGAACTGCCCACTGAGTTTCGGAGGCTGGGAACCCTTAGGTTTCTCCCACAGAGCCCTCCACCTTTCAGTGAGCGTAGGCGTGCTTAACCACTTGTGCCACCAAGGCTCCTTCTATGCCTGACTGCAAGGCCTCCAAAAGTGGGAGGTTTATATGTAGCTACACTTAAGCATGCACACTTAGGCTTAATAAGGTCAATTCTGATGGCATATTGAAGGACAGTGTAGTGTAGTGTAGTACTCTACAGTAGAGATGTCAGAGGCAGACCCCACTGCAGGGGCAGTGAGTTAGCTACTGTGGCTCTTCTAGCCTAACTCTAACTCCACCTAATGACCTTGTCCTGTAAGGGTCGGCTACCAAGATGGGGGAAGATACTGATAGGATCCAGCTTCTCACAACCTGACTTACTTCCAACTCCCGATCATGCCACGTCTCTCGCCCTTTACCTCACTGTTTAAACAAGGGCTGATCAAGGACTGATTTCCCTGGTGCTCCATCTCTTCTCGCACCCCGCTCTGTAAAGTTGACTCCCTACAGTCTCGATTGCCTTTAGCTTTATATGAAATATTGCTTCAAAGTCCAAATGGACCTTGTGGCATTTGACATTGTTGGCTCATTCCTCTCACATTTCTACAAATTGCCATACTTCCATTGTCTGATCACATGCCACACAAGTGCACCTTCTTGCCAATCCCCCAGGGCGGAAACAATGGTGATGCTGTCAATTCCCCTCCTCTCTCATGTTTAATCAGCCACCAAGTACTGTTGGCTCCTGCTCAGAAATAGCTTTTGAGGGGAGGAGGGGCATAAGGGGGCACCGAGCACAATGATGGATGCACAACACTCCCCCACCCCACCCCGCCAGGGGGACGAACAACAGAAATGTGGGTGAACGGAGACAGGGATCGGTGTAAGATATGAAAATAATAATGATTTATAATTGATCAAGGGCTCAGAAGGGTGGAAAGGGTGGGGAGGGAGGGAAAAAAGAGGAGCTGGTACCAAGGGCTCAAACAGAAAGTAAATGTTTAGAAAATGATGATACCAACTTATGTACAAATATGCTTGATGTAATTGATGTATGGAATGTTATAAGAGCTGTAAGAGCCACCAATAAAATTATTTTCTTTAAATAGCTTTTGAATTCATCCTAATTTCTGCACCTGGGTTGTCTATGCCATATGTTAGATCCTTTCCATCTCTCATATGGGATAGCCTGCCTCCCTGTACAATAAATATTTGCGAAACAAAATTACATAGAAGAAACAAAAGTCGATAGGAAAAGGCAGTTGAGTGAAACACCGGAACTCGGGCAGAAAGGCTTTAAAGAAGGTTTGACACAAAGGAAAGCCATTTGATAGATATTGGCAAAGCTAAGGAGGTATGCCTGCTACGATTCTGCCATTGTCTCTTAGGTAGGTTCCCTGGCATGAAGAAGTCTTATCTATGCCTTCCAGGAGATATACAGAGGTGCCCATGAACCTCTGTATTGAAAGTGGAAGACATCCCAAATGACCATAGAGAGGAGCCTGGCGAAGTCCGTCTCGGTCTATTCTCGGGCAGCAGTGGGCTCCAGCATACCACTGGTTGTGAGGTGGGCCCAGGACTGTTTGGTTCTGTTGCACACAGGTCGCCTTGCACTGGAGCCAACTTGACTGCAGCTCACAGCAATCAGCAGCATGCTCGTACAATAGGAAATCCCATAGAATGCAAAATAAGAGAACCAGTACTAGGTATACTACTATAATCAATTAAAAATGCAATTTTGAATGTGGAAATTGGTATACTCTTTCTATAACACTTACAAATAGATGAAAAATGAATAAAAAGGACAAACGAAAAGAGAGGGGCCACCCTCAAATAGAGGGGGGGAAATAGCCGATGATACTACATACTACTAGCACTTTGAGTTGGTTGAGCTTCTTTCAAAGAATCTTTTGCAGCTTCATTTGACATGTATCTTGTAAGCGTTCGGGAGTGTCTTACCTGTTAACTCATTGATTTGGGGCCGATTACACTGACTGGGGCCCACATTGGCTTTTTATTCTTATCTCCGAACAGGTCAGTGTTTCTGACATTCAGTGGCTTCGAGAACATACAAGGACTGCCAGCCTATCGGTATAAGGTTCCTGCAGAAATACTAGCCAATACTTCGGACAATGCTGGCTTCTGTATACCTGAAGGGAACTGCCTGGGCTCAGGAGTGTTAAATATCAGCATCTGCAAGAATGGTAAGAACTCAGAGGAAGGGGGAGGATTATGGGGTCTAGAATGCAGAAGGATTGGAAAGCAAAGACTATTGTCAGCCCAATTAGAAAGAAAGATTCTCATGATCCCAATTCTACCTTACAAATCCTGCCAGACCAGAGGATGTACA